TTTTTTTTTTTTTTTTTGCAGCAAAAAATGCAGAAAAGCTACGTCTTGCTGAAACACCGTTATCGTTTTACGACATGCCGCAAGAAACTGTTAAACCTTGTCAAACGAATGTCCAGTTTTACTATTTGTGATAAAATGTTTATGCGTGTGTGCTTTATTCACGTTTTTGAAGTGGTTTTTGATGGATATTTTGTTGTAAAAAATAAAATGAGCGAAAGATTTCTATAACTTGATTTACTGTTTTTGATAATGTATTTATTTGCGTCAGTAACAAATTTTATAATCCATATTTTGTTTGTTTGTTTTTTTGATTGTTTTTTTGTTTGTTTGTTCGCCTGTTTGTTTGTTTATTTGTCCCGACTTGTTTTCTTTTACTCGTTAACTATAAATTCTATATCAATTTCTCCGATTTTTGTTGCTGTTTTCAGTTTGAGGAATCAGATTGTGATAATCACTCATCTTTTTCTAAATCCATTCGGCTATTATCGATAAAGTAAGCTTAAGGGCTTATGGATGTCAGGTACCGAATGTAAGCCTTAGAAACAGACTAGCGGAAGTTCATTTTTCTAATAAATTTTTTCACATAGTGAAAATACTCTAATTGCAGTCTTCAAGAAATGTTGGAAATTCAGTTGTTATGGTGAAAGTTTTGGCATTAAACTTAGTGGTACAAGGGACCTTTTTAAAACAGCTGTCTTCAGCAGGTAACAAATATTATGCGGGAAGCCATCGATGTTGCTGATAAAAACGTCAACTGTTAAAGCAGTGCTTGGAAGAACAGAGAGCAGGGAAGAATCTAAATATATCGCTTTAGTGACCACACTGCGCTGTAATCAGTTCTGATTCTTGGTCGATGGCGTCTACCGAAGGATGAAGGGTTTTGGAACTTTAACAAATTGTAATAAAGCAAGAGGAAGAAGAATGTAAAGTCGTTATAAAAAGTATGAAATGAGTAAATTAAGAGGTGAATTGGGAAGTTGAATTGAAATGGATCGCAAGTTCTGATTTCTGTAATTTATGCTTGATTGTTATATACTTTCCTGGTTCTAATTTTTACACTTTTTACGTCTTCATCATGAAACATTCACCATCTCTTAGTTCTTAATGTGAAGTGTTCATGTAAACACGGGTCAGG